AAAATTGTGTAAATTCCTAAAAGCATTGTGCAACCTACCAAGACTGAATCATGAAGAAATAGAAAATCTGAATGGACCTATACCTAGTAAGGAGATTAAGTCAGTAATCAGTAATGTCTCAACAGTGGAAAGTCCAGGACTAAATTACTTCACTAGTGAATTCTACCAAACATTTAAAGAAGAATTAATACTAGTCCTTCTCAACCTCTTTCACAAATAAAATGGAAGAGGAGGGGACACCTCTAAACTCATTTTACCAGGCCAGCATTACCATGATAACAAAGCTAGATGAGGACATGACAAGAAAACAAAACTATAGGCTAGTATCCTTGATGAATATAGATGCAAAAATTCTCAACAAATATGAGCATTATAAACTCAACAGCACATTAAAAGAACCATACACTATGATCATGAGATTTATTCTTGAGATGCAAGAATGGTTGAATATAAGCAAAAAAACAAAACAAAACAAAAAACAAATATGATACACCACATTAACAGAATGAAGGGTGAAACCACAATCATTTCAATAGATTCAGAAAAAAATACTTAACAAAATTCAACATCCTTTCATGATTAAAAACTTTCAACAAATAAGGAATAAAAGAAATGTACCTCAACATAATAAAGGCCATATACATAAGCCCACAGCTAACATCATACTCAGTGGTGAAAAGCTTAAAGTTCTTCTCTGAGGTTAAGAACAAGACAAGGATGCCCACTCTGACCACTTCTATTCAACATTGTGTTGGAAGTCCTAGCCAGAGCAGTTAGGCAAGAAAAAGAGCTAAAATGTATTATAATCAGAAAGGAAGAATAAAATTGTTTCTGTTTGCAGATGACATAGTCTTACATACATAAAACCTTAAAGTCTCCACTAAAGTGGTTAGAACTAAGAAGTGAACTCAGTGAAGTTGCAGGATACAAACTCAACCTGCAAAAATCAGTTGTACTTCCAAACACTAACCGTGAACTACCTGACAGATGAATGAAGAAAAGCAACCCCGTACAGTAGCATAAAAAAACAAACTTTGGAATCAATTTCACTAGGGAGACGAAGCCCTGTATACTGAAAACTGTGAGACCTTAGTGAGAAAGACGGAAATAAATGGAACGCTGTCTTGTGCTGTCGGGTTGGAAGAATTAATATCGGTAAAATGTCCGTACTCCCAAACCTTCTACAGAGTCAATGCAATCCCTGTGAAAATTCCAATTGCATTTTTCACAGAAATAGGAAAAACAACCCTAAGTTCATTTGGAATCACAAAAGACCCCACAGAGCCAAAGCAATCTTGAGAAAGAACAAAGCTGGAGGCATCTCATTTCCTAGTTTCAAATTCTGTTGCAACGCCATAGTAATCAAACAGCATTGTACTGGCGTAAAAGCAGACACTTGGACTAATAGAATAGTGAGGCCGTGCGCGTGCAGTCACTTAACCTGTGACAAGGGTGCCAGCACACATGGGGAAAGACGGTCTCTTCAGTAAACGGTGCTGGGAAAGCTGGATCTCCACATGCAGAAAAACGAAAGTGGGTCCCTACCTCTACCATGAAGGAAAATCAACTCAAAATGGATAAAAGACTTAAACGTAAGACCTGAGACCATAAAACTCCCGGAAGAAAGCAGGGGAGCCTCCTGGATACTGGTTGTGGCAATGATTTTGTTGTTGTTGTTGCATCTGACAATAAAAGCACAAGCAACAAAAGCAAAACTTGGAAGTGGGACCACGTCACACAGAGAGGCCGTGGCACAGCGGAAGTGGGACCACATCACACAGAGAGGCCGTGGCACAGCGGAAGTGGGACCACGTCACACAGAGAGGCCGTGGCACAGCGGAAGTGGGACCACGTCACACAGAAAGGCCGTGGCACAGCGGAAGTGGGACCACATCACACAGAGAGGCCGTGGCACAGCGCAAGTGGGACCACGTCACACAGAGAGGCCGTGGCACAGCGCAAGTGGGACCACATCACACAGAGAGGCCGTGGCACAGCGCAAGTGGGACCACGTCACACAGAGAGGCCGTGGCACAGCGGAAGTGGGACCACGTCACACAGAGAGGCCGTGGCACAGCGCAAGTGGGACCACGTCACACAGAGAGGCCGTGGCACAGCGGAAGTGGGACCACGTCACACAGAAAGGCCGTGGCACAGCGGAAGTGGGACCACGTCACACAGAAAGGCCGTGGCACAGCGGAAGTGGGACCACGTCACACAGAGAGGCCGTGGCACAGCGGAAGTGCCATCAACAAACGAAAAGGCAGCTGCGGGTGGGGTATTAGCCTCTTTAGATATAAGAGGCTAATATCTAAAATATGGAAGGGCCTCGCAGAGCTCAAGAAAAAAGAAAACCAATAATCCAATTGGAAAACGGCAGCGGACAGGAGGGGGCGTTCCTCCCAGAAGACGCAGACGGCCCCTGGGAGGGCGCTTGGCGGCACTGACGTCAGGGAAATGCGTGCAGTCCGTGCCGAGCGTCACCTGGCGCCTGTGAGGGTGGCTCTGTTACAGAAGACAGTAGATGAGCCCTGGCCGGTTTGGCTCAGTGGATAGAGCATTGGCCTCTGGATCAAAGGGTCCTGGGTTCGATTTCAGTCAAGGGCACATACCTTGGTTGCAGGCTTCTCCCCGGGCCGGGCCCTGGTCAGGGCTGGTGCAGGAGGCAACCAATCGATGTGTCTCTCACATCGATATTTCTCTCCGTCTTTCCCTCTCCCAACTCTCCCTAAAAATCAATGGGAAAATATCCTTGGGTGAGGATTAAAAAAGAGAGAGAAAAGCAGTAGATGACGTGCTGGAGAGGATGTGGGGAATAGGGAGCCCTAGTCCCCACTGTCGATGAGAATGTATATTGGTGCAGCCACTATGGAGGTTCCTCAAAAAATAGTCCTACCTTTTAACCCAGCAGTCCACTCCCGGGTGTGCAGCCAAAGGAAACGAAATCCCTGTCTCGCAGAGATGGCCGCACCTGCGTGTTTATTGCAGCAGCATCCCAACAGCAAGACGTGGCAACAGTGTCAACACTTGATGGGGTAAAGCAAATGGGGTAAATCTATGTACAGTGGGAAATTCTCCAGCCTTAAGAAGAAGGAAATCCTGCCGTTTGTGACAGTATAGAGGCACATGGAGGTCATTATCTATGGGAAATAAGCCAGAGAGAGACAAACACTGCATGATCTCAATCATATGTGGAATGGGGGGGGCGGGGGGGGATAAAGTCGAACTCAGAACCAATGAGAGAAATGGCGGTTGTCAGAGGCACAGTTTGAAGGAGAAGCATTTGACCATCTCAGTAGATGGAGGAAAACATTTAATCAAATTCTACATTCATTCATGGCTTTATTATCTTTTATAGGACAGTACACCTTTATCTAAATATCAAAACAAACGCACAACAAAATTCTTTCTCTCTGTGTAGCTGCGGTAATGCCAACGGAGAGCGGTGAGGCAGGATGAGAATCGGTGGAGTTCACGTGGTGTGGTTTGCTGTTCTGCAGTGAGAGTGCCCCCTTGTGGTGTGTGTGTGTGATTGTTTGGATGAGAACTGGGAGGAGGAGTGCAGGACACAGCAGCGTCTCAACTGACTTTCCTGGCTGCCATTAAGGCAAACTATTCTTACCCACAATGCAGCAGTTTTTACTAAATAGATGCTCCTCGGTCTGTTGCATGCCTTTGGTTTATTCCAAAGTCCTGGAATAATTGTTGTTTTCAATACGTATTTTGTCCAGTTTTATAGTTGTTTTGGGGGGAGAGGATTTGCCAGCCTTTTTACCCACGGTTGCTGGAACTCAATCATTTAATTTTTACTTGAACTGATTTTTTTCTAAGCTCATGTTTTCATATTTATGGAGTCTGTATTATCTGCCCAGGGTTGCCATGACAAGGTGTTCCAAGCCAGGTGACTTAAAACAGCAGAAATGTCTGTTCTCACAGTTCCGAAGGGGGAGACTGAAATGCGGTGCCAGCAGTGCCGGGCTGCGGGGCGTCTGCGCGGTGCCGCCCGGTCTGTGGACGCATCCCTGCATCTGCCTCTGTGGTCCCAAGACTCTCCCTCGTGTCTGCACTTCGTCTTCCCTGTGTGTGTCCTTTAGTGACTTTAAATAACAGGGACCTAAGTATTTTTATTTTAAAAACAATAGGAAATTCTCCCTTGCTGCTGTGTGGAGTGCTTTCTCTCTGAAAGACCAAGATAAGGATACACATCATCCCCACTTCCCCTCAGTCCCCTCCTGGAGGTGCGGAGGGGAGGGTCAAGGAGGGCGGAGGGAGAGGAGAACGGGAGAAAGAAGTAGCAAAAAGAAGGAAAAGCCACAGGACCGAAGAAGCCTAGACCGGCCTCACACAGTGCGACCTGAATTCTGTGGCCGGGACAGCGTCACCCTGGCGCCCCCGGGGCCTCCCTCTGCCGCCGAGTTTAAGAGCGCGCCCTGTCTGCTTCCTGTAAATGTTTAAGGACGTGTCATGGTGGTCAGACAAAAGCTTTATTTCTCGTTTGAAGAAAATGCCATTCATTTCAAAACAAGGTTTTTTAAAGCAAAGTTTTACTTGGAGTCGGTACCAACTTAAGGCATCCACTCTTCTATTACCTGTCCAATATTGCCAACTCTTTAAGTGGAAATAAATACATACTTCCTACCATGTAGTAAGATGCTCAGAGCTGAATGGTGATTCTGATTTCTTGATGTAACTCAGTGTTGGTGTACATAAAAGGGGAGGTTCCATTTTAACATTGTCACTTTTTATTAAAAATTTGGACAGAATAAGATACCTTATCTTATCCTAAGAAGCCCTTGCTATAGCATTTATTGTATTGGGGCAAATTATAATTCAGGGAATATGTGTGTTCAAAGTTGCCCTGTTTTGAAGCTGATGCATCAGAGAAAAGGAGAGGAGACCAGTGTGTGGGTGCTGCCGGCGCGTGCAGGGCACGTGTTTGGCAGCAGGTGCCAGGTGACCAGGACCAGCGGGCACAGAGGCGCCTCTTCTGTTTCTTTCAGACCCAGCTCCCTGCAAAGACCAGTTGTCCTTGAAGGAAAAGCCCAGCGCCCCGGCCGATGTGCAGCCTCCGCAGCCACCAGGCTCCAGGGACACCCCCGGGGGCACACCAGCGCCTGCGGTGCCATCCTCCCCTCCTGTGACTGCTGTGCCCCAGGACATGGCCGCACCAACCGCCAGCCCCAGGCCAGAGCCAGCGACGGGGGCTGCCGTGCAGGCAGGGGCCCCAGTGACCTCTCAGGGGACGGCCAACGAGTGTGATGCCCCCCAGCCTCCGGCAGAGACTCGTGATGCCCAGCTGGCTGCTAGGCCCCGGGATGTGCCCCCAGCGCCCTGCGCCTCCCCTCCAGAGGCCCCCCTTCACCCCGCAGGCCTCGGGGGGCCCGCCTCAGCCAACGAGGCCAACCCCCAGATGGATGCCCCGCCAGCTCCGGCCCCTGTGCCCAGTGCCTCCAGCGAGACCCCTCAGCCTGCCCTGGGCCAGTCCCTGCCTCCTCTCCCTAACGCGGTGGGGGCCGCCAGCCTGGCTGCCCCCCAGCTCCCAAGCCCTCCTCTGGGGGCCAGCACCCTCCCCCAGCCACTGTCTGCCTTGGAGTCGGACGGGGAAGGGCCGCCTCCCAGGGTGGGCTTCGTGGACAGCACCATCAAGAGCCTGGATGAGAAGCTGCGGACCCTGCTCTACCAGGAGCACGTGCCCACCTCCTCAGCCTCGGCCGGGACCCCGGTGGAGACGGGAGACCGAGACTTCACCCTGGAGCCCCCGAGAGGGGATCCGCCCTGCACAGAGGCCTCCACGGGGGACCTGGCCCTGCCACCCCAGCTGGTGGTGAGTGCTGGCCTGGCCAGAGGTGCCATCCTGGGCCAGGGGTCCGGGTGGGGGTAGGGCCAGCTCTGGTCTGGCCATGCAGCACCGCCTCCCTCCAGCCGGCGCTCCTGCTCCGAGACCCACCTCTGAGCGCGACCTGCCCAGTGTGTTTTGCAGCAAGTGGCCAGTCTGGGGGGCGCAGGGTGTGGTGTGCGAGTCAGACCCGGCGGCAGAGACTCATGATATGTGTGTGGAGCGCCTGGGCCGCCGGCTCCAGCCTGGAGGAGACAGCGTGGGTGGGGAGAGCTTTACAGTTTAGCTGCAGGGATGGCAGCAAGTGAGGCTCCTGGCTCCTCTCTATTTCTTCCCGCAGCTGGACCAGCCCGGACTGGCACCTGGGCCGGCAGCTGCGCTGGAGCAGGCCAGAGCCTCGCCAGGGACAGGTGATGAGCCCAGTCGCCGACCCGCCCCAGGGCCCGGGGGGCACGGTGCACCCCACCCTTCCTCCCCAGCGCCTGCGTGGGGACCAGACAGAGCAGAGCCCATCATGGTGCCTTAGTACGTGCTCATGCGCCAAGAGAAAGTCCACAGTCTGTGGGCACGGCGGCCCCTCCCTCCGCCTGGCGGGGTGTCAGCCTGTCAGTGCAGCCAGCTGACGCGGCGCCACCTGCATGGGTTTTGTCGCATGTGGGTCTTGGCTCAGGCCAGACTCCCACACATCAGCTCGCTCTACTCTTATCATTCACTCCTCACAGCAGTTCTGGGAACGCGGCTCAGAAATACCAGGCTGTGCTCCCATTCTATAGAGGGCAAACTGAGGCAGCCTCGGTGACCTTCCCTAGACACAAGCAGCAGGGCCAGGCATCAGCCCTATTGATCTGCACCTTCCAGGGCCTCATGAGGCCCGTTCATACCAGACCCTGTCAGGGAGAGCGGTGACACCATGAGGTGGGAGAGGTGGCAGGGAGGGAGGTGACACCATCAGGCGGTAGAGATGAGAGGGAGAGCGGTGACACCATCAGGTGGTAGAGGTGAGAGGGAGAGCGGTGACACCATCAGGTGGTAGAGATGAGAGGGAGAGCGGTGACACCATCAGGTGGTAGAGGTGAGAGGGAGAGCGGTGACACCATCAGGTGGTAGAGGTGAGAGGGAGAGAGGTGACACCATCAGGTGGTAGAGGTGAGAGGGAGAGCGGTGACACCATCAGGTGGTAGAGGTGAGAGGGAGAGCGGTGACACCATCAGGTGGTAAAGGTGAGAGGGAGAGAGGTGACACCATCAGGTGGTAGAGGTA